AACAAACATAAAAAAGAAGAAGGGGAGATAAGGACGATAGATGTTTGATAGGAAAGAAGAAGCAAACCACACCAGAGCACCCGCCAACCACCCACACAGGCTGTGTTTGGAAATCTTCTTCACTTACAAAAGGTGAGAAGGGATAGTCTGATGGCAAGCCCAAGATGACACTTGCAACATGACACTCACAAAGTAATGACATGACACTGACAACATAATGACAGGACACCGACAACATAATGACATGACACCAACAACATAATGACATGACATCGACAACATAATGACATGACACTGACAACACGACGACATAACTCGGTATTTACACTCCCTGACTAATGCACTATAAATAGACCTTACTCACACCCCGTCCCCCTCCCGCCCTCCTATTTACTCACCAAAGCAAAGTGAGGAAACAAAAGTCAAAGGCTGATGTTCATTTGTATGGTAATAGTTTGCTCTTTATTTCTGAGTACGGTAATATATCAAAATGAAATCATACACAAAAAGACATCTTTACTTGTATGATAATAGTTTGCTCTTTATTTCTGAGTAATATCAAAATGAAATCATACACAAAAGACATGTACACCATGGTGCTGTCATTCATTCAAAAATGATAAATCAACACGAAAGTCCAGGCAAAGATTCTCTTCACTCAACGGAAAAGAACTCAACATTGCACAAAATGCACAGTAAAGACACTTTTAAAGAGTTTCAATATCAATCTGCAGCTGCCATAGGTCTACTCATTATGGTTTGTATTTCCTTCAGCTGAGTACCTGAGATAGTCAATATGGAGGGAACACAGAATATATTATCAACAATGCTCTATGAGCTTTTAACCCTTCCAGCCCCAGCCATTTTGGTGCATTCCCTAACCCCAGTCCCAGCCAATACAGCAGTATTTCAGAAAAAGAGGCATTCATTCTAAAAAGTGATGTAGTATCTTTGTAATGTAGCTTTGATAATAACATATACCAATTTTTAAAGGTAAATGAACAAGTAATAAGAAAATTAAAGTTTAATTAAGTTCGCTAATTTTGAAAAATGCGCGAATTCGGTACCCCCCGAAACTGAGAATATACGCTCTTGGGACGGAGGGAGGTACAAGCGCTGCTGAAAATATACGCGCATGGGGCTGGAAGGGCAAACAACCAAAGATGAAAGAATCGCGGATGAATTCAAAGAAAATGACAGTACATCATTACACGTATTATTAAATGCCCCAGCTCACAGGCCTACAATATGATGAGTTCCTAGCCAAATACAGTATACCACGGATTGATCAAACACAAAAGACTCAAAATTACGCATCCATCAAACTGTGCCGGTTGTCCTGGGGGTTTTTTTTTCCTTCTTTATGTGTGTAAGATATCTCTCAAACTACAGATCCCTCGAACTACCGAGGCTGGTCCCGACGAATTCGAGCTATCCTTGTTATACTGTAGTACACTGATAGAATGTCTGATGTCAATGAGTACAGACAGTACCAAATAAAACTCTCATCATCATCATCATCATCATCATCATCATCACCACCGACGAAACAATTCCTCTTTTTCTTGTTTCGGATTTCTAGAAAACATAACAATTTGCACCATGTCAATACATCTTTACCTAACTTACAAATGTCAGCACCAAAATCAGGACACAAGACAAAAAAACAAAACCAAAAAGAAACAAAAACAAATAACAACCTCATACATGATGTATGAGTACTAATGTATGAGTACTATCTACCTTCAAAATCATTTCCTATTGTCTGTCTCTCACCCTCCTACTCCCAAAACGTACAGATAAGGCAGGTTGTTGGTGGTCAGACTTCGATGGTTCACGTCACGCAACAGAACACGACAACCACAATGTCTTTGGCAAGTGTTTAGGACGGTCAGAGTGGAGAAAGGAAGAAATCTGACAGGACGAATACATCAACACATCGCAAAAATTTGGTGATGACAAAAACAAAGAGAGAGAGACATGGGAGAGACAGTGTCCAGAGAGAGAGACATGGGAGAGACGGTGTCCAGAGAGAGAGACATGGGAGAGACGGTGTCCAGAGAGAGAGACCTGGGAGAGACGATGTCCAGAGAGAGAGACAGGGGAGAGACGGTGTCCAGAGAGAGAGACAGGGGAGAGACGGTGTCCAGAGAGAGAGACAGGGGAGAGACGGTGTCCAGAGAGAGAGAC